CCGGTCCGCGGACCGGGGGTTGGGGACCACTGATCTTAATCATCTAAAATCAGGTAGTCATAAAATAATTGGATGGGGCGTTGGTTCTTACCTGATACGCCCCTTCTCTGGGCAGGTGGAGACAGCGGTCATGCATGGGTTAACTCAGTCAGTAACCAATAGAACTGAGTCTACCAAAGTGATGTCATCACCTCTGAGGAGCATGCTCCCGCTTTTTTAGACTCAGTTCGATTGGAACTGGCTGTGCTAATCGCTTTCTCCTCAACTATTTCTTAATAATTGGATAGTTTAATTGAATTTAATTGGATTTCTCAAATTTACAAAGGAAATTGGTCTCTTCTAAATTGATTCTCTGATCTGGGCTCCTGTATGATAATTAGAATATTATTACAAGTCAAATAGGTTTTGAGCAAAGTTCCTGAAATGCAATCTGTCATTTAACTATGAATTATATGCAGAAACTTCCAGCAGATATTTCATATGACAACACTGCTAATACAGTAAGTTATAAAAAAACATATGTAAAAGTCCCTTCATCAAGAATATGAGGTTGTGCAAAACAAGAAAAGAGAAAAATACCCCCCAAGTACTGAATTTTTTTAATAAGGAGAAATGCAAGGTTATAAATATATCACCCACAAACCTTTGGTGATCTTTTATAAACTCTCTCAATATTATCTGAAATACAGGAATAATTATTCTGGCTCCGACTATGCATCTAATTACAAGTCACTCTATATCAAGATTGGAGAATCTCCAGCCTGTTTTCTCAGCCCTCTTCCCTTTGGCCTTGAACCCTTTGTTTTTCCAGTTGCTCAGTATAGTTTGCCAAGCATCTCAGCAGACAAGTGGGGGAAGCAAACTATAAATGGGGAAAATGTAATTAGTGCTTTGCCAAAAACCATATTAAGCAATGCACCATAACCTCAATATCATCATCGAACACCCTCTCAAGTTTCTAAATCACCCAAGAAAGAAGCTTTCAAGGTGTCCAATAAGGATGTCTGTGGCTTCTCAGAAATGGAGAATATAATTATATAGATTAATGATTGTATGTGATGGTAGATACTGTATCATCAACTGATAATATGAAGAAAGCAAGCTCAGCTAAACTGATGCAGGAAGAACGTATATGCCTTGACGGATGGAGAAATGTGTCCCTCAAAAGTGATTCCTTAAATATGCAGCTCTTAAAAGATTCTTCATGAGGGAAAGCAACCCATGGACTGAATTAGTTCCTTACTTCTCATCTGGCTTCTAATGACTCCGGACATTCTACTGGTTAAGAGGTTGGACTAGGAGTTGAAAGACCTAAGTTCTATCCCTCCATTAAACACAGAAGCTAATTGGGTGACTGGCATTGCGCCAGTCATTTGTTCTTAGACTTAGCCTCATCAGCATCCAGCTTTGCAATAAACCAGCAAAAAAAATTAATAATAACCAAGATCCTTTGTGCATCGTGCACTAACAAGTTTTGCCCTAAGAGCTAGGTGATCTCAACCTGAAAGAAATGGACCCTGCAACCAAAAGGACAAATGTTAAAAGTGACAATAACTTCTACATTAGCTTTTACCTCCTGCAAGGGAGGCACACAGTCTAGCCTTTAGCAATTTATCACTGTGGCGAGAGAGGAAGACACTGGATGTTGGGGAGCTGGGGTTTGAAACTGTTACTCACATATCCCATGACAGCTCCTAATTAAGAAGCTTGATGGCTCCTCCATCCAGAAATATATTCTTTCCCTTGGTATGTTGCCCTAATCTATCCTTCCTTCTATTAGAGCCCTAGATACCCCCATTCCACACAGTCCAGAGCTCACTTTATCTCAACAGCTGTTTGTTCCTAGAACCAATAATTACAGAACTGATTTTTCAGACACAACTGTAATCCAGCCTCAACCTCTTAACATATTCCAAAATGTTATGCAGATGGTGAAAAGGACTCTTGTAAAGAAAATGTTCAATATTTTACTGAAGTGGAACTTTAATTAATCTTGGAATCAGGTAATTGCTTCTTTAAGTATATCATCACCCTAATTGTTACTGGGTTCAATTAACAAGAAAACAAAAATATTTAAACTAGGGGGGAAAGCTTGACTTGCCAATATTGAAATAAAGTACTTTTGGCAAGCAATTCACAGACTTCCATCTTAATTGCCACTCCCTGGTTACAAAAGCCAATAAATGGAAGGTGTGTCACATTCCAAATAATCTTTTACCACTTCTGGCCCTGTAAAAATTGGCAATGTGAGCACAATATATTAACCATGGAGACAAAAATCTCAAAAAAAAAATTGAGGGCTCCTGATAAGGTGGAACAGTCAGGATCTCTAAAACCAAATCTCAACTATATAACCCCCATCTTGCCAATGGGTCATTCCATGTATCTATTTATGCTGTGCTGAAACTGTGCAGAACTACTTAGAGATAAGCAGCTGGCATGGAAATAATTTAATCCATTAAGAAAGTATTTATTTCATTAGTTTAGAAATGACCTGAAACCATTTACTTTTAATCAATTTTCTTGTTACTTAGATTTAAGAATGACAACAAATTAATTCTCCTTTCCAGCATTTTTTTAGAGCTTTCCATTAAGTTTTGAAAAATAATCTTGAGATATGTATCAGTCTACCCCCCATAATTGTGAGTATCTTTCCCAAAGGCTAGAAATCCTGCAAATACAGTGATTTCAACTTCCAAAATGTTAAACCAGAAACTCATTGAAAACTGAATCCTACTTTTTTGGAGGATATCCAGGACACCGTCCTGCACTCCTTGAGAAATTGGCAAGGTTGAAAAAGTAATATACAATCACTGCATGTTTACTCACACTCTTTGTCTAAAAGTTTAGAATTGAGAGCCCATGGCAGCGTTCCATTTTTTCTTCATAAAAACTGATAGGAAGTAATTCAACTAAACCCATCAGGGAACTTCACTTAGTGGAACATTAAAACTAAACGTCTTCAGTAGCTATCTGGAGCTCTGACTATTCCCAATCCATCCTGGGCAATCTGCCTTTGAATGGTCTTCAGAAAATCATTTTCTCTCCCATTTTATAAAAATTAAAGTGATGAAGAAGAACGTAGGCTGTCCAAAGAAAAATAAGCATTTTTAAAAAGGTGTCTTACATGCCATTTAAATGACTATAAAACAAACAGAAAATATAACTTATTTTATTGGGTAATAACAACTCTGATGGGGATTAATTAAAATTGCTCAGTTAGCTCATGATTGAATATTCCCTTCAAGACTTGGTACAATAACTTCAAATGTCTCCTAGCATAGAGGCAAGCAATATTCCTGAAAAGCTGTTAATTAAAGTAGGTTAGAAACCAAATCATAAAGATGGAGTTCACAAAGTCCCATCATTAAATTCTAGAATCTCTGAGTAAGCTTTTCCTTTGTCAGTTTCCATCTCCAGAAGAGATGTACCTCTGATAATGCTGCTCTACGTGACATAAATAATGGATCTCTTAATGCTGTAACCTTATTACCAGGAATGACATAAAGGATAAATGCTTTCTGAAAGAGACTTGCAATGACAAAACACTGAAGAAAGGTGTTGAAAAATCCCACAGGAAACTTCAACATAAACATCCATTAGCACTATATTTTTGGCTACTAGAGTCTGACAAAGTGTATATTGGTTGAACTAATAGTAATGAAAAGAAGCAGGGCTTGTCAATATTATATATAAAAAAGGTTGGCAGCTGCTAACATGCCTCTTTTTGTTCTCCTGTTTTTTCTAATTGCTGCATAAATGAGTACAAAAAGAATATATGAAATCCAATGTTTTAAAAGGGCA